TAGGCAACACGGGGTTTTCCTCCGGGGGCTTCCCCGGTTTCTCTGTGGCATCCCAACAATTACTCCATTCACACCCAGAAGAAGGCAATGGCAAACCACTTCTGGATCATCTGCCAAGAACGTATATGAACAGGTCCCAGTCCGAGAAAAGGATGGAAGGATCCTGTTCATATGGACCTGTCGTCAGACACAACACTAAATAAAATACAGTCCGGCCTACCATAGGGATAAGAAGGCTTGTGAAACATAAACACAGACACAGACCTCGAGCATTATCTCGTCATGCACTGACGGTGGAAAATTAACAGATGAACAGCTGACAAGACACAGCAAACAACAAACATGATTACAACACATGCAATGTAATTCAAGCGATGGCAGTCTTCAGCAATCCCTGGCAGTTGTGGCGCTACTGACAACAGATAAGCTGTCTGTCACAATCATACCGTGGTTCTCACACCGTAAAAAATGGACGTTCAATGTTCTTCATCTCGATCGCACGTAAATGAACAATGCCATTACTGTCATTAACGAGGATGATCCTAACAAAGAGAGAAGCACCGAAGTTTCTAGAGACATTCAGAAACTCTTTGGGCTGTTACAAAGAACTCTACAGTGAGAGAAGAAATGCTACCCGCTAGCTCTGTCTTGACCATTCCTCCAACAGAGCTGAAAATTGTCAGTCCACCGACCCAAGGCTTTCAAAGGCTGATGTAGACTCGTCTGTATCAGTTGATTCATTATCCGAATAAATTAATTACAGAATCAATGTAATAATTGAAGAAAAAATAAATACACGCATTTCTTGCTATTTTTTTATATTTATTTTTCATTTTGGAACGTATCCTTATTTTACAAATGTATGTAAAGGTCGAATCATTTCACGCGGTGATTTCTCGGAACCAATTAATCGCGTAATGCGAGGAATTCCTGTACGTTCAAATATGTCCTACATACAAATCTACTGTTACAAGAGAAATGATTATTGAAGCCATAACAGATTACCTCTGCATTTCGTTAAAACATAAACTGTAAAAAAATTCAATTTTAAACGGTTTTGACGGTGGTAGTTTACAATTAGATAGACCTAGTCTCTGTCACTGTTCAGTCTAAGGCAGTGGTATTCAACCTGGGGTACGCGAAGACATCTTAGGGGGTACGTGAAATTTAAAAAAAAATATTATTTTACGATAAACACTGAATAATCAGTAATGTAATTTATTTAATTTATTTTAATTTATTATTATTATTATTATTATTATTATTATTTTACAGTAAAATTCTTGGAATTGTTATGATCATGTTTGAAAGCCACAGCAGGAGAAGGGTATCGTGGTTCAAGACGTAGGTTTGAAACTCAAAGGTTACGAGAGGCAAAGCCAAGGTTTTAACCACGATAAGATCATCAATTTACGAAGTACATTACGTTGCGTTAGAAACAGAATTCAAAGCAGCCAGACGCTGGCAGAGGAGGGCGACACGGATGCTTGTACGGTTAGTTACCTTTATTAATCTGTCTATTCTATGTTGGTACCTGCAACAAACCTCGGGTCCCTTCGTGGGGCTGCAAAAATCCGCTTCCAAATGGTCGATATCGCTTACAAAGGACGTTTCAGACAATAATATTTTGTTGGGTAATGGAAAAACGTCGCTCGGTGTCTCTTTGCCTAGAATCATGTCGCATAGGTTTCCAGGTCCCCCTGTTGGCTTCAGATACATTTCGAGGTCAGCGTCCCTTCCGAAGCCTCGTTTTCGAACGTAACCTCGTGCCTCTAAATATAGCGTCTTTTTGGCGTCGTACCGATTTTGAAAGCGCCACATTTCAAATCACTGCACCCGTGGAATTTTCAAAGGATGGGCAAGATAATCCTCTGATAGGTTAAAGTGCGCTTAGGGAATAAATTCGAACCCGGTACGTCTTGAAAACCTGGGAGATATGTTAGAATTTTCGGTACAAAGTTTCCAAAGAGTGAACACCCGTCGTTGGAGAAGATTCTTTTGACGTAAATACGTCTATAAGGAAGGGTCATTCGGCAAAAAAGGGGAACGAAAAGTGTAACCTGGTTACCTAAGAAACGTCATCTGTTTACTCGGAATTGTTGTTACCTAGGAAACGTTACATTACATTACATGGTCTAGCGGTTAGAACGCTGGCCTTGTAATCCTGGGGGTCTCGGGTTCGAATTTATAACTTGTGTTGGGCAAGGCCGTGGTCTAGGCAACACGGAGTTTTCCTCCGTGGCATCCCAACAATTACTCCATTCACACACAGAAGAAGGCAATGGCAAACCACTTCTGGATCATCTGCCAAGACCGTATATGAACAGGTCCCAGTCCGAGAAAAGGATGGAAGGATCCTGTTCATATGGACCTGTCGTCAGACAGAACACTAAATAAATAAAACATTCAGCTACCACAGATGAGTGTGACTTCGAATGCCACAGTTCAAATCCTTGGTCACAGACACACTGTGCCGAAATTACGTGACAGGATCAACAGATGACGGTGGAAGGGTTTACGCGGTGTGTCCCAATCCGAAATTTTGATGTCATGTTTACGATAAAAATTACGCTCCCGTCCCTAGTCCTGCAGTACACAAACTCTTTTAAACAAATTTTTAGAAAGTTTGGGAATGGAGACACCGTTAATTAACAAGTCTAGAAATTGTTTGTGTATTTGTTACAACACCAGGACAGCGAACCTCTGTTTCATTTGACTGCGTTCGGAAATAAATACGCGATGCACTGTTGCTTATAAACAATTGAATAACTAAAGCGAATAAATTGCGGGAGTCCAGTGTTGCCATCGGGCACAGCAAATTAAAATTTCCCAATCACATTGACAAAATATTTAACTTTCAGATTTGGGTTTGCGTGAGATTTGGGACGTACAATACGTGGCCTTCTGTTTCGAGTACTCATTGTTTTTTCGTGTAGGCTGATCTCCTTGGGACTATTTCTCAGAAAACGATTCGTTTAGGTTTGTAAAATCGAATTTCTGCTAAAAACCGTGAAGTATCCGCTACTGTCTTCCAAAAAGAGTGAATTGTTTCGCGCAGTGCACGCTGGGACCCCCAGAAACATTGGATCTCAGTAAGACACACCTTCAATCATGATCGCCTCTTAAGAAGGGGTTGACAAAATATGAATTTAAACTTCGGTTTATGTCGTGTGGAACGTAATAATAAATCAGGGAAGGATGGGATGGCATGGGATTGTAGCACGCATAAAAGGTGAAATGAAAGAAATCACTCAGAGAAGACTCTGGGGTCGGTGGGAGGATAATATTAAAATGGGTTTTAGAAACAGGATGCCATATTTTGACTGGATTTATTGGTGAAATCTACTAAGAAAATGTTACAATTTGTGGTAAACACGTCTGATTATGTGTTTTATTGCGTACAGATCGTATTTGGGTGCATTGCTAATTAAAGATACGCCACAGACGAAAATCAGGGCTGAAGATAGCGCAGTATGTCTCTCCGAAACGTCGGTATCTACCTGAAAGCTCACACAACCCAAAAGACTGACACAAACAGTGGTACACATTTCGGGGGTCACCATGTTTTTTTTTTCAAGGTTTACAAAGAAAAATTACTTCAACAAAACTTGCACTTTTTAAAGATTCATAAGTAACAAAATTTTTGGAATTTAGATTTTTATCAAACTTGGAGCGAATATTACGTCACTAAAATATACTTTAGTGACGTAATATTCGCTCCAAGTTTGATAAAAATCTGTCAGTCGGTTAAAAAATAAAGGGGAACACGGATATGATAATCATATTTTATTATAACTCACATCGAATTTGGAATTTCGTCCCATAAAGTGCAAGAACGCGATAAGTCCACTGGACAGAACAGGGGTTGATTACCACCAATTAACACGTGGATTTGTGTAGCTGGGAAAAAATGAACAAGTTGATTATGTACGGTCGTTATAACAAATATTAGGGTCACGTGTGGCTTCTCCCTCCAGCTGTAGTGGTCGACCTTCGTCGGCCACGGCACAGGTTTGCCCGAGACGGCGTTGAAGCCGAACTGGACCGCGGCGAAACCACTAGCAACAAAGACGGAAGGCCCCCTAGCCGCTGGATGCAAATGAAAACCGCGTTCCAGAGTCGGAACAGATCAGAGGCCACACCGAGGAGTTCTCAACCTTTGGCCCGCTCCAGCTCTCAGGATTACCCGCAGAGACTTCTTAAAGCAAGTGGCGAGTTCCCAAAAGACCCCGAATAATAGAAATCTCACAATTTTATTTACTCTAACGAAACAAGCAAGCAACGGAAACGTGTTATATTATTAAATACGCTGAATATTTAAAAAATAATTACCAGAAATACGCACTGCAAACAATGACAACATTTATTTTTCTTGTATTTTGTTCGGAAGATTTCGGATGAGAGAGTTCGCGTTCGGATGGCAGCCAAAGTGGACGAGGGACTTATAATTCTATCACGCTGTACGATGAAAAAAATATTCACCTGATACAGCGAATGTCAGTAGGTCAACTTTTAACTGCAGTCAGAAACTGTACAGGTTAACGAAGAACGTTAATTCAAGAATTAGGAAGAATTTTACTGGCTAATGACGCAAAGACATTAATTAAACCTCACACACATTAAATATATTACTGAGACAAAGGCAGTGTTAGTCTACGTGTCTCATTTAGACTGATTTTTAGCTTTCAGTAATGCCTTAGAAAAAGCTTCATACCCTGATGATAAAGGCAGTAAAACCTCTGAAACGTCGATAAATTTGAGTGGTTAATCACGTAGCATGAATGAAAAATATTATCAAAGCGACAAGCCCTAAACGCACGAAAGCATTACTGCGAAAAAGCAAAGTTTCTTGACCAAAGGAGAGATTACAAGTGTGCACATTTCGAGTAAGCTGAGGGCATAATCGACTTCTAAAGTCCAGTCCACGCGCTCACAAAGTGGAAAAGTCAAATTGAAAAGTTGCCATGGACTCGCGATAAAACATTTCATAACAACTCTTAACTGAACCCGACCTCTGAGTGAATTCGCTAAAATTAGCTCAGAAATAACGACGACTTTAGGCTTTACAGATAAAAAAAGGTCAGATGGGAAAAGGTCGACATTGGACTACCAGACGATTAAACACGTTTCCATGGAAACTAATTGCTGGTGACTCCGATGCGTAGTTAAATATATAAAGAATATCCCAAAAAGATGTACACACTCATTATTTGAATGAAATAAATAAATTTTAATAAACCAAACAATTACATACGTCAGTATCGGCACTTAATGAATTAGCGACTCTAGCGTACGTGTTCAAAATGACCACTGTCAGCTTCGTGGCACTGTCGATAACGGCGAGCAGCTAACTGACCGGCGGCCAGTGAAGTTATAACGCGTGAACACCCTTTAGAAACACCTTCATGACAGATAAGTGTTGGTTAGTTCGCTTGCGACAATTTTTTAAACCACTATTTGCATATCATATCGTATTATATTTATTACACTTCGATTCAGCAAAGGTAAATGCTTTTAATTTCTATTTTTCGCTCACGATTTTCAATTAAAATGTTTTTTTAAGCGACATTTCGTATTTTCCGTCATAATTTCCGTCGTAATTTACTAGTGACAACGTTAGTTAGTGACAGGAATCAGGGAACACATTACTTACAGGCCCTCCATGTGAAAATGTTATGAATATAAAGCCTTAAGGATAAAACTGACGATACAAAGGACAGACCTGGGTTTCGTGAGGTCTGTAGTTGATCGATTCCCCACGTTACTTCATAAAGAAATTATTAGGCCGAGAACAAGACCAGCGGAAAGGGGGGAGTACCAGCACGTCGTGGACATTGATGTTGCTGGGATAATATTAAAATGGATCTTGGACTGGACTAGTCTGGCTCAGGACATAGAAAAGTCGCGGGTTCTTGTCAACACGGTAATGAACGTTAGGATTTAATATAACGCGGAGAATTTTCATTACCAGCTGAGCGACTGGTAGCTTTTTAAATAAATAATTTTGTTCCATGGTCTTCGTACCTCTGAATTTTTATGTGTACTCTTCGAAGTGTAATTTTCCCCCCTTTTAATTTTTGTGAATTTAATTATTATACTCGAGTACTTGCACACTATTTAGAGTTTCAAAATCGGACCCTTAAATTCTAAATCCTTCCACGAAAAATCTAAAATCGTAGTCTAGAATGCTTTATAACAGATACTAAAATTCTTTAAGGTGCTTTATTTTAATATTATCATTTCAGTTCAGTCCACATGTCCTAGGTCTCTTCCCTTGAGACTTCCCGTCAGAAACTCTGTATGCATTTCTCATTTAAGGCCAATTACCCCACCTCTATTTGGAATCATCGTTAACAGGATCACGTGAACAGCAGATACTATGACGTCATCATTACTCGAGTTCTCTCCTGTCTATGGCGGTACGCAATTCTTTATTTTTATGTTTGATTCCTCTGTAAAAACTACGACACGTTCGAGGGATTATAAAAAAATACGGAAAAATGTCTTTACTGCCTAACAAAACACCATTTCACATGCAGGGCTTAGTACGTAGTTTAAAATGAAAATTTAATACAACACGCAAAGATTTTATGTGACTGGTTTGTAGGCACTTGAGTTCTGAAATCGGCAAATACGAGCCGATTACAAAAGCTGGCCGTGTAGGTTCAATTTCTTCAACACCCACTGATTTTTGGCGTCTGGAAACCTTCCAGACGCCATAAATAAGATTCTGTAAGCCGTGCTCAGGACACGCTAATTGCGATATTGGTCGAATAACAAGTTTCTCGACGCTTTTGAGTCGAATATGTCACAAAGTCGAACCAAGTTCAAGCACTTCACATTCCTTCTTCGTAATCTGCGGCCCTCGGGGTTTGAATTTCGTCAGGCAAAAATCCAAAATGGACCGATTAATCCAACGCGTGCAGTTTAAGGGCACCAAAGCCAGAAATTATATTTTTATTTTTGAATTAATCACTTATTAATTTCTGCTATCACAGAACTTTATCTACGCACTGAAACTACGGGCTGAAAAACTATTTTTTGTCCGTAGCGCCAATACAAAGAACTAAGGATTAAAAAGTTGAAGGTGAAATGGAATCGGGCGCACTTAAAGTCTGGACGTACAGCTTCAGGTGAACTTCCTTTAACCCTTAAACCGATGAAGGAAGAAAGGAAAAGTGAGGGGGGGGGGGGCATAAATTAAATTTACAGTTACGAAGGTCCCCAGGCAGTGCTGAAATTTTGGAATCTGAAACCAAAGACGATTGTTAAACAGACAGATAATGGGTCGATAACACGCAGTTATTTACAAATTTGCTCATTAATAATTTGCATAATTTATATTTAAACAAATATTCATTGTGTACCTTACAGCATCGTTAGTTTACTACAATTACATACCTCGAACCAATCAAAATTCTATTTTATGCCTAAATGGCATGTAAGAAGAAGAATAACTTTATGAGTTCTCCACGAACCATCAAATACCAAAATTCCTTACGTATTTTGCAACAGCAAAGAATACAGTAGAATTTTTATAACGTATTAAACACGTCTTAATTGTACATATCGGAAGTTCGAATAAGAAATTAATTTCTGTAATTTCGAAACTACGCGCCTCCGCTGATTAATATTTCACAGCTACTGATTAGGAAAATGGCACCATCGCGGTAAAACTCTTTAAATACAGGAACTACTTAGAGCTGCCAAAATCCCTCCAGTTTATAAATTCCACTACCAAAATAAACTGGATGAGAATGTAAATGGCACATGTCACATAAACCAAAACTTTCGCCAAGAGAATAAATAAAACTGTTCTGTGTTTCTGACGGTGAAAATGTCTAAAAAAAAATCCAGCTCTCAGTTGACATTTAATTTGTTGCTATGGTTTCCTTACCTGTTAATAAATACAAATAAATAAATGAAGCTGTCCCTCTATACGCAGCTTAGGGGGGGGGGGGGTATAGCTCCTACTCATTCTTGACCTTGGCACTTGATGGGGTGAGTGGTCAGCATCACGCCCCGGCCGCGTTTAACCCCCGCGATTGTACAGAAGGCTGGGTGGGCCCCAGAACCGGTCTGGACGCAAAGGCTTGAGGAAAAATCCTCTGCCCTCCCTTAGAGGATCGAATCCCGGTCCTCCAGTACGTATAAAGTCACTGTTCTGACCGAGATCCCCTGGCTTTCTTTACCTGTTGATAGCCGGAATTACATAATTATTGTCTTTGTCATGTGCCTTTTACATTCCCAAGTATTCAATTAGAAATACGACAATGAGAGAAAAAATACTCACTTACAAAGAGACCCATTGGTGCTCCACACAATCATCTGTTTCACGAAGTCACAAACGTATAGGAAACTTCCGTTATACAACACTTAGAAAATACACACAATTCTGATGGTCTTAAAATAGATATCAGTACAAAACGACACTGACCCTTCCCGTTTCTGCTTCTTCTGAGGAACACACACGTTCACGTTTATAAATCACTTTTAGAAAACATTTCAGGCCAACTCGCGCGCACACACAGTGTTGTAGGATTCCTTCCAAAACAAAAACAAACCATTCCTTTACCATTAAACATAAATCACAGAAATGCAATCTGTATTCCCGTAGTATATTCCTTTCTGTTAAATTACACGAACATAAAGCCACAAATTTTTAAGCGGTAAAAATCACGCCATTTCTAAACGTAATTAAAAACAGAAGACAATCGCACAGCGCAACCACACACTTACTTCAACCTGACTACGGACAACTGGCTGGTTTCTGTGGCAAATTCTGAATAGCTCTCCCGATCCAACCCGAAGACGTTCGGATATCTTCGGGCTACACTTCCAGTGAATTCATATGATATGGAGTGGTCGCTGTAAACTACAATACATCGACGCCATGTCTTATCTAAAGTTCAACGTAACATTGAAGGCAATGTTTCTCAAACTGTGAGAAGTATCTCACAGTTTGAGAAACATTGCCTTCAATGTGTGACTACGCTGTGTACATCGATGATTATCTTTACGTGACTAATGTTTGGTTGGACTTCGAATTTCCCCATTTGTCTACGAGAGACAAATTCATCAACATGTATTTACCGTGAAAGCTGTTGCGTTCACAAAACAGATACAGTAATAACTGTTGAGAATGGTAAACATTGGCAACAATGCACTTTCGGACGCGTTGCATTATGGGAGAATTCAGCAGCACTTGCTACAACAATGCGTTGTTTTATTATTTTGTGGTTTGGTTGATGGTTATTGATAAACTGTCCTTTATTGTTCCACAAAGAATGAAATCTAACGGGGTTAAATCTATCGAACGTGATGCCCACTGCGTCCGATCCACCAATCAGGAAGCTGTCCATGAAGAATTTGTCGTGTACGTGGGCGAGGTAACCGTTATGTTGGAACTACATTGTGGGGTGGCGTTCAGCAGAGTGATACAGAAATAATAAGTAACAGAATACAAGCCTGTGGGTCTGACCATCGCTAGGACGTGTTGGTATTATCTGTGGTACATTCCTCAGGCTGCAAAACCCAGCTTCAAATAACACCGCTTGCACTGGTCAGGGCGTCTGTACACTGAGCAATAAACAACTTTATCTGGCATCAGCTATTAAAAAAGAAAGTCTTAAATCGATCGCTATGCTTCGGATCTATTTCATAATAGTGTAGAAGGAACGTAAATTTTCCCTTCATGTATTCTTAGTCGGAGGAAGTCATGTAAGGTTGAGAAGAGTCATGTTTGTTTACGATGACTGCGTTATGGAAAATACCAACATCGACTGCCTTATATTGTACTCTGCATTGTTGATTAGATTTTGATAGTTTGGATAGATACTTTACATGGCTTCTGATAACAATGTTTGCAACTAGAGCATATTATTATTGTCAGACGAGGTATCTCGGTATGTTTATAGTCTTCACTGGACCGATACGAATCGCGAATGTTTTCGTTGAACTCATATAATTATTTTTGGAGTATACGAATCTTCCATCTGGCGCTCGTACTGTAAACTACACACACATCAGCGCACGTTCTTGTACGTATGGTAGATACATCTTACGATCGTAGAACCTAATTGTATTTGATTATATAATCTCATAAGTATATTATTCTGCCATCTAGCGCTGGACGTGCTAACTACTTAGCAGACGTAGCTTACAGCTCGGACGTGTTCTTAAGTTAAATTTCAAGCTTTGCCGATAGATGACACTAGTATACACAATTGTGCTATCCTATTTTACTTGTGCGTCCAGCATGTGGCGCCGCTTGATATTTCAGGAACTATGTGGGTGTTACAGTTCTGTGAGAAATATGTGTGGTGGTTTTAACGTAAGGCGGCAGTGAATTGTGTGGCGCGTAAGTGTGATCATGGAAAGCAGTGACAGGTCTAAGTTTGTTATTTCAGCGCGTATAGAATAAATGAAGAAGAAACTGAGCTGCTGGTAAGTTCAAAGATTTCTTTCTTCAGAAGAACTCCATATTTCAATCTTTGATAATACCTTTACACAGAAAATATTAACTGTCAGGATAATAGCCTGCAAAATATAACAGCAACCTTCATTTGTCAGAACTAACCCATTACCAATGTATGAAAATCAGAAGTGAGGATTTTATGACTGATAATATTCACTACAGAGTCTAAAATACATCTCTGAAAGTCGGTTGTGGTCTTCTGGGAGGTAACACTTTGTGTTGTATTTGGATATGTAGGTATATAGGTATTAGACCACACGGCTTTACAATACAGAAGACAACAGTCAAAGTCCAATTGTTTATAGCTGTCATCATTCGTGTTCAGTTTGTAACATATCACAACTGTGGTCAAGGTTTAAGTCTGTTAACTATGTTGTTCGTGTTCAACTGCTGAAAAACCACATTTGACGGATAATCGCTTTGATTTAGGTACCAAGTTTTCCAGTTCAGGATTCTTAATGTAGTGGAAGTTAAAAACAAATGTGTTTTATCTTCCCGTGTCCTGTCCAACAAAACTGGAAATACATACTCTTTAGAGCACGTTGGAATTTCAAAGGTTTCTTCGCGATACATCACGCGCGATGACGTCATCAGGGAAACCAGGGGATGTTTTATGCAACAACGGTATTCAAGGTCACTATCGAACGAATGTGATCGAAGGTAATTTTTATCCAACGATGACTTCGGTACACACAGTGGCAAGAATTTGCTTCAACAATGACCTCGGTTCGCATTGTTGCACAGACGGAGGAGTCTTATGCAACAAGTGCAGATTATTTTTACTGTAGAATGATACTGGACCGGCAAAACGCGTGCAGGACTACACATATAAAATAATTTTATTTGTAAACACACTGTAGAAAGCTTAAACCGTGCCCCATATAGAAACCAGTTGAGGAGAAAAGACGTAGAACATGAATGCTTAGTTTTTAAGGTGATTGCGACCTTCAGTTAAGTAACTGGACTAAGTGTTCTGTACAAAATGTCGCCAGGCCTCGTGACGTGACGAAAAATTCATTTAAACCACCAGAACGAAAACAATGATACACTGAGTTTCCTCAGGCATTGTTTAGAACTTGATGATCCTAGCAGTTCGAATAGCTTTGAGGAAGTTGCAGTCCAATGAAGGTGATGATCGCCCTGATGATGGAGGCATCAAGCAACTCCGAAACATCTGTGAACTTCACCGAATTATTTTTTTTGCAACATCTTTTTAGGTTTAGTCTGGACAAAGTTCGATGAGCTGCTTCATAATTGCTAAGGTGGATTGGGTGGGCATGTAGCATGGAGTAGAGAAAAGAATACAAAATTTTGGTAGAAAAATATGATGGGAAGAAGTCTTTTGAGATACCTTTGAGTAGATGGAAGAATAATTCTAATTTATCGTGTGTCTCAGTGCGGGAAAAAACTCATAAATCTTGGGGCTCCTTAAAACGCGGGGAATGTACTTCTCCTCAAAAAGGAATCCGTTTCATTGGACTAGTCGGTCAGTTAGCTAGCTACCCTGTCCTCTTGAACTACAGAATGAGACACAAGGACGATGTTTAACGCCGTCTAGAAAGTGTATTAATGATTTGCTTCGGGCTTTATTACGAAAACTGGATAACAGCTTTAAGTATGCACCGTACAGTTACGTTTTGCTTTCATAGTCCTTGACGGATTATGACAAAAATAGCACAGAGATTTAACGTACTAATAGTCGCCATCTTTGAAAATTTCAGTGGAGCTAAAGTACGATATCGGAACGAAGTCGAAATTTCTCACCGAATTCTACAGGTTTAGGTAAACTGTTTAAACCCCACTGGTAACTATACGTACCAGCTGCTTTAACACTGATTCTAATAATAAATAGCGTTTATTTCCTTAAACAGCGTTAAATAATTGAGCTTTGTAACGTTGAAGTGTCGTGTTTTCTTTGAGGTACGGACTGAGTTTTTAAACATTAAATATATCGATCTGCTTGTCGAATCTCCTTCACAAATGGACACGATTTGGAAGGTTTTCTGTTAAATTGGCTTGTTTAATCGTACGCTGACTGTAATAAGGGTCAATGTATTTAGCACAGAGACTGTTTCGATGCGAGGGTTTATTAATAGAAAAAGCGAGGCGAGGCGGACTTTAGACAGACGTACGTTGTAACTGACATAGCAGATGTTCGGGTTGAAGAACAGAAACTACTTGGAACGTTCTGTGACCGGACCTAAAGCAATTTTTTGAGGTTCTGTCAGCGGTGAATACGAAGATGAGTGTCCTTTTGGATTGTAGCGTTGGTAACGTTGGTAAACTTCTACCAAACTACACGCCGCTACAACGGAGAATACAGACATCTTAATAATTTTTGGTGATATTTAACGATACTGTTCCAACTACTAACTGAATATCTTTCGGACATCGTACGCGTGACGTGCGGTGCCCATGTTGAATGCGTTTAATGTTCAGAACAAACTTTTGAGAGTTTATCTCGCAGATGACGCTCAAACTGTATGTATCTTTTCATAAAATTTTTTTTGTACGAGTAAAGACAATTTATATGCACCATTATTACAGTAAACTAGAACCAGTCCAAGGTTGCAGACTACATCCCTAAATGCGTCTATTTTACGCTGAAAGCTATTGTTACAAAATTACAAAATTAAACCATAAGCAAGTCCTCCCCCGTTAATGGATTCTCCCAACCACCACGGCGACACACAACTCAATGCCTCCCTGATTGCTAGGCCGCTGCTCAGATACACATGCGCAAATAAAGCTGAGCAGGTTATGTTTTCATGATCAGGATGTCTTCTCATCGAAACGTTTTGGTGTTTTTTTATTTAAAGTAATCAGTAATGCGAAGCACAGACTGGTAAAAAAGTTTTTGGGCACAGGAAGTGTTTGTCTGCAATAATTTCCATTTATTTCCGTTGATCGTGAGGGGGTTAGTATGTAGTAGTCATGGTAGCGTTTTAAATGGAACACCCTGTGTAATAAAAGAGGGATTACGTCGAAGAGACACGGGGGAAACTCGAAAGCGTACAGAATATTGGCTGAAAACCTCAACAGAGTAAAAAAAACTTTGGAAAATCATTGGAGGACGATATAAAGACACGTGATTCTCACAGAAGTATATTATAAAGGCGTAAACTTCTCTAAAGTGGCGTGATTTTGTGAAAGCGGCAATGAACTTACTGATTAAATTTAATGGAAATATTTTTACGTCCTTAAGAGGAATGGTCTGACCTGTTCTTATAATTCAGTCTCTCTATTTACAAGGGAAATAATTTGTCTCGATTTCAACTCTTTGAGGATTGGAAGGTGTGTTTACGAAAGTCGTTTACGTTTTTATACTAAACTGGACTTGCGTGGTTTATTCTGTTACGTCACGTACGAAATCGAAGTTGCATCTCCGATAGGTCGCTCGATTATAACCTCGTTCTGACAATCGATTGCAACATTTATGGGCTCACGGCCAACTTGATCGAATCTCCCCCTGTCTTGTTACTATGGAAACTTGAAATTTCCCATCCCGTTAATAACTGTGTTCCACAGGAGTTCTTTAATCGTCGTTTTTCGAACCTGGCACTGTGGGCTACCAGAACCAGATCACCAACGTACAAAACGTACCGTAACGTAACAACAACTGATCGACTCCATGGGGCAGAGTTTTTTTTTAAAAAAAGAAACTGTTACTTGGTACAGATAGAAGGATAATATTAAAATAGTTATTAGAGGCATATGTTGTGGGAATGTGGGCTGAATTGTGTGCTTGAAAAAGGAGCCCAGTGACGGGCTGTTTTATTACGATATTAAATCTTCGTGGTTCATAAAAGACGTGGAATTTCATGAATGGGTGACTGTCAGCTTCTCAAGTTGGTCGCTGCAGGCTTCACACGCCGTTCCTAATTGGTCCACTAAGTCCCAGATCACGTCTTCCTAATGTGTTTAATGTGGAATGTAACACTTGACGATGGAACTAACTGTTCGGGGGTTTAAATTAGCAACACGTGGACTCGGGGTGGCCTTAAAACCTCTTGGTTCTGGCTGCAAAATAGAATTAGAATAGAGATCTAAAGTTTATAATAAGAGTACATCTATTTTTATGCAATTATTCACTGTCACGTTTTCTTGTAACAAATGTGACCAGTTTTGAAATAATTCTTTTTTTTTAAGGAAATTATTTCCAACAAAGAGCACAGCCTGTACGAGGTGCGATCGGAAAGTTTCCAGACTGCGCGTATAAAAACCCGTACACTTATCTCAGGTATTAAATTCATCCATCACCCTCGAAGTAGTTCCCCTGGGAGTGAACACAACGATCCCA